CTTTTTCGGAAATACTCAGTTCAAGGTGCTCTGTGCATTGTCCTCACTGGTGCTCGGTATTACGCTGGGCATCAGCTGTTCTTACATCCATGAGCGAGACCCAAGGCTCGAGGGACCACCCTCCTCAGATAGTCTCGGACTTGTTGGCTTTTTCCGGCAAGTGTTCAAGTCGATCAAGTTTCTGCCTCCGCAGATCGCCAAGGTTTGCGAGGTTCAGCTTGCGGCCTGGGTTGGCTGGTTTCCTTTTCTATTCTACGCAACGACATATATAGGGCAGCTCTATGTCAATCCCATCTTCGAACGGCATCCAAACTTATCCCAAGATGACATTAATAAGGCCTGGGAAGAAGCAACTCGAATCGGAACGTTTGCACTTTTGATTTACGCAATAATCTCGTTTATTGCTAACATGATCTTGCCGCTCTTTGTTGTCCCGACATACAGGCCGATCACAAGGCCGGAGCAGACTTACCCGGATACTCCAGAGGAGAACGAACCCTGTCTATCCAGAAGGATGTCAATCTCAAGTCTGCCCGTCGGTGTCGCCTCAGAACCCGCCTTAGAAACCCCCAGCGGTAAGCCAACCGGAAGTGGGGATGAATCGACATGGTTATCGAAGCTGCAGATACCTGGGCTGACGCTGCGCCGGGCATGGCTTATCTCTCACGTCCTGTTCGCGATCTGCATGTTTAGCACCTTCTTCATCTCCTCTTATCAGGTTGGATCAGCGGCTATTGGACTCGTGGGCATTTCGTGGGCCTTGACTCTATGGGCTCCCTTCGCCCTGATCTCCGCGGAGGTGTCCCGCATTGATGCGGAGCGTCGGACTCGCCGGCATCAAGCAGAGATGGAAGTGCCTCCTGAACATTACGCCGCTGCGAATGTCGCTGATGACCACGGTGATGGTGCTGATTACGATGAAGATCTAGAGAACGGTGCTCGACCGCGACGCGCCAAGGTCGAGGACGAGGAGGAAAATCTTGCCCAAGCGGGCATCATTCTCGGACTCCATAACGTGGCAGTGTCTGCACCCCAGATCTTTTCAAGCTTGATTAGTAGCGCTATCTTCAAGGCCTTCCAGAAGCCTAGGGGAGAGCCCTGGGATGACAGTGTTGGATGGGTGCTCAGATTTGGAGGATGTGCTGCTTTAGTTGCGGCCTGGCTGGCCAGTCGCCTTGGGGATCGCACCGTGTGAATTGAATGTTCCATGATCTCGTAGTCGGGTATTTATCTCCATATATAGGTACATTGTACTATAGATCCCGTTCTTGCCACAAATACTTTTTATCGAGAATCAAGTCTTCAAAAATTGGATGTTAAAGGAATCGGGGCGGTCTCCAAGCCTTTTGGATATCGGTCTTGGCTTCGGGCGGGACGTCTCCAACATTGACGGCTACCTGTCCCCAAACCAAGGTACTTTACCTGATCCATCTATCTTCCCATCGCAACATTCCACCTTGCCACTAATACCTCGTTTCGTTTGTGGTTTGTCCTTCTGCACTGCATCTGTCAGTTATTATTATGTGCGCCTTGGTTTGGCGTCAGAGACTCGCAGCTGGAGTTAACCGCTTGGTGGTTGTGTGGACTTCATAATGGCGAGCCAACTGATGGGCGACGTCCTTCACCAGCTGATCCGTACGTCCTTCATTGCTGCTTTGATTGTCTCCCCATGCATTATTTGCTGTCGTTTGACTGGAAACAGTTTTGTTATGGATCATATAACAGTGATAGTGCCGTGGCTAACCTGTTGTCTTGGTTCTGCAGGGAGAGCCGCCGACTCGGACGAGCCCGATGATGGTATGCGCGTTGATCTCTTATAATCAGAAACCTCTGAGGTCGGTTGCTGATGAGTTATTCCAGATGTTCCCGAAGCTGGAAAAAAAGAGTTCTTCAGCTCCTGGGCTCTTTTCATCCTGATCATGCTGTTGATGTTTGCCCTGTTTACGAGTTATATACTGCAACAAAAGAAGATCCAGGCGGTGCACGAAACGGTTCTGTCAATCTTTGCTGGTACGTTCAACTTTGTCTCTGCTACTATTTGTCTCCCATAAGGGTCGGCGGTCGCTCATGCGCATTAACGTAGGTATGTTTGTCGGGTTGATTATCCGGTTGAGTCCCGAATCGCCTATACAGGACAGCGTCACTTTCGACTATCAGTTCTTTTTCAACCTTCTCCTTCCTCCTATCATTTTGGCCTCCGGCTACGAGTTACACCAGGCGAATTTCTTCCGCAACATCGGCACTATACTCACCTTTGCTTTTGCGGGGACATTCATCTCCGCGATTGTGCTGGGCTTGGTTCTTTTCATCTGGACACGGATCCCATTGGATGGTCTGAACATCTCTTTCGTCGAGGCTCTATCTGTTGGGGCCACGCTCTCTGCGACGGATCCGGTGACGATCTTAGCCATTTTCAACATCTACAAAGTCGAGCCCAAACTTTACACGGTCATTTTTGGCGAGTCGATTTTGAACGATGCCATTGCCATTGTCTTGTTCGAGACAACGCAGAAGTATGCAGAAAGTGATGCTGGCTCGCTGACGATCCTCAATCTCTTTGAAGCTATCGGACTCTTCCTGCTTGTCTTCTTTGGTAGTATGCTGGTGGGCATGATTGTTGGGATCATGACCGCGCTGGGGCTTAAATACACGCACGTTCGTCGCATGCCTAAGATCGAAAGCTGCTTGATTGTCCTCATCGCGTATGCCAGCTATTTCTTTTCGAACGGTGTCCACCTATCCGGTGAGTGTCTTTGGACTTTCTCCGGCGTCCCCGGTAACTGACAGGCTTAGGCATCGTCTCTCTTCTGTTTTGTGGTATCACGATGAAACACTACGCGTACTACAACATGTCGCGGCGGACGCAGTTGACCACCAAATATCTCTTCCAGGTTCTGGCACAATTGTCGGAGAACTTCATCTTCATCTATCTGGGCCTCGATTTGTTCGTCGAAACGAATTTACAGTTTAAGCCTCTGTTCATTCTGGTCGCCGTCTTTGGCATCTGCCTTGCCCGTTATCTGGCTGTGTTCCCGTTGTCGAAGGCGATCAATTGGTTCATCCGGTACAGGGCACGCCGTCACGGCTTGGAAGTCGCGGACGAGCTGCCCTTCGCCCATCAAGCAATGTTATTCTGGGCGGGCCTGCGCGGAGCTGTGGGGGTTGCGCTGGCCGCGGGGCTTACAGGGGTGAACGCGCCAGCGTTGCGTGCCACTGTCCTGGTTGTAGTCGTGTTGACCGTCATCATCTTCGGAGGTACGACTGCTCGCATGCTGGAGATTCTTGGGATTCGGACCGGCGTGGTCGAGGAGATTGAGTCCGACGATGAATTCGACATCGAGGTCACCCATGGGGGCACCTATTACAAGCGGTCCGACACCGGCCTGGGATACACGCCCCGACGTACCGATTCTACCATTCCCCTGGACGGGATACGGCGAGCAGGTCTCGGTGACAGGACCGGCAGCTATTCCAGTGGCAACAACCGCCGTCCTAGCCCACCCCAGTCGACTCGGGGCCATGCACGGATGTATTCCAATGCCTACAGTTCCAAAGATGCGCGCGATAGATCGTCGACGGCGACGCTTCTCGGGAACGGGGCTGGAATCCACAGCGATGGCAGTGCTGCTAGTGAGGATGAATTCGGCCCGAGAGCCGTTGGGCGCGGCCGACGGGCGTCAGAGCCAGACCAGGTTGATGCATTTGATTTGGATATCGATGATGGTGCATCTGACGATGATCTACCCCCCTCTGCGCCGGGTGCGGCTTCTAGACTGCGGCGGTCACCGTCACAGGCACAGAATCTGATGCCCTCACAAGCTGCTCCTTCGAGCGGAGCGTCACCCGTAAGGAGAGAGACAGGACTGAGCGCGAGGGAAGCTCTTCGTGATCTGTTCTCAGGTGGACCATCTGGCGATCATGCCGCCTGGTTCCGACAGCTGGACGAGGACTTCATCAAGCCGCGGTTGCTTCTAGATCAGTCAAACCACAAGGGCCCAGGTGCCGTTTGAGCCACGATGCTATGTATACTTAATGTTTTGTTATCCGATTTTCCGGTGTTTCGCTTCATCTGATTCTTCTTCATTTGTGACTCTGCAGTCTCGGCCTGCTCATAGATTCTAGGAGCCCGGGCTCAATTGCGCAGAATCGTGTTGTATATTGGTACTGGGCTCCATTTACGCCCGTGGCTTCATATTTTGCATTTGATTTGGACTTTGGGGTCTGGAACCCTGAAGGGTGGTGCTTGCGGTTTGTGCAACAGGTATATGGTAGTAGAGGGAGCCCTACTCTCCTCTTTGTCCCGTTTCGTCCTTGAGATAGACTTTCTCATACGGAGTAGAAAGATATCATCAATTTTATCATGATATTATTGAACGTACTGATAAGCAGGCAACGCTGAGCCTCGGAAGAGTGGTAATCAGTTCTGATTAGGCAAAACTCGCGCTGACTTGCGCCTTTCTCCTCATCATCGCTAAAGAGTCAACTCAAGCCGTCTTCAAGTTTGGGAGCTAATGCACGCTCTCGGCTCTTATCATCGCCATTGAAGCGCCGAGATTGGATGCTCTCCCCGTGGCAGGTTGTTTCGCTCGCGATAGATAACTAAAATTGATATCAGAATCCGGCCATCGCCACTACCACAGTAACGCAACCATCGAGCTGCTGAGATTGGCTCCCTTGACTTCCCGTGCCTTTTAGCTCAGCTGTAAAACCCCGCTCAGGAGGACAATATGACGACGACATTATGGTTGAGACGATGAATACTCCTTATCAGACATCGGGTGAATACAACTCCCATGCAAGGGATCCTAGGATGTACACCCCTCTTTGTCAGAACTCAATTCTCTTGTAACTCTACCTTCGGGTCGCGTGCGTATTCAGAAGGATATTAAATATGGATACACCTACGTGAGATGAATTAACTTCGATGACCTTTCTTGCTAATCTACAGCTTCATGGTCCTCTTGTCTTGTTAACTCCTATCTCCCTTCGTTCACCAAGTTATGGCGGAAAATACTCCAGTTATGGACGTCAAGTCCAAGGCTGCGCCAACAGTCGATCCTGATATCGCTGTTGAGCCTGGCGACATGGAGCTACTCGGTGTGTGGCATAGTGTATCATCTGCAATGAGAATATGCTGATGGATACTGATCCTTCCAGCGACGCTGGGGTACAAGCAAGAGCTTCGGCGACACTACTCCACTACCCAGATCTTCGCGGTTGCGTTCAGCATTATGGGATTGTTACCCTCCATTGCATCTACCTTGTCGTTCTCGTTGCCTGCGGGCCCAGTGGGCATGGTCTGGGTAAACTATTTCCATGAGTTGCAGTGCGGAATTTGAAGTGTCCCTGCTGACCCGTGACAGGGTAAGAGCGTTGGGTCCCTGTTTGTGGATGCATTCGATCAGCGGTATTGACTCCCCTCTAGGTTGGCTCGTTGCAAGCATGTTCATCTTCATTGTTGGCTTGGCTATGGTACGTGATTTGACTGTATACAGAATTGACTGCTCGGGGCTGATCGTCTGTTTTTTCATAGGCTGACCTGGCATCGGCGATGCCCACCGCTGGCGGTCTTTATTTCTGGACGCATTATTTCAGCGATGAGAAATGGAAGAACCCGCTGAGTTTTGTCGTTGGATACAGCAATACCATCGGTCTTGTGGGTGGGGTCTGTTCAATCGATTGTGCGTGGAGCCTCCCCCAGTCTGGTTGTGTCTTGGGGCATATGCTGACGCGCAGGATGTAGATGGCTTTGCAACCATGTTGCTCTCACTCGTTTCCATCGCCCGCGACGGGGAGTGGACTGCTTCCCGCCCGGTCGTGTATGCCACATACGTCGCTTGTGTCGTTGTACACGGGCTGATCACCACATTCTTTGCGCGAATTATGCCGAAGATCCAGACGCTCTGCATCGTCAGCAACATCGGGCTCGTGTTAGCAACCGTGATTGCGCTCCCCATTGGCAAGGCGATGAATGGCGGACCGGTCAACTCGGGTTCCTATGTCTTCGGACATGTTGAAAACCTGACCACATGGMCGGCGGGGTGGGCGTTTATGCTTGCGTGGCTGTCGCCTATCTGGACCATTGGCGCCTTTGATTCCTGTGTCCATATGAGCGAGGAGGCTACTCATGCCACACGTGCCGTACCACTCGGTATCCTCTGGTCGATCGGGTTATGTGGCATCCTGGGGTTTCTGTCTCTTGCAGTCATAGCAGCCGTGATGGATACCAAGCTGGACAACGTTCTGGGGACTGCTTTTGGTCAACCGATGGCGCAGGTAAGCTTGTCAGGCCCTAAAGCACACCCGCATAGGCCCGAGCTGATGACCGCCAGATCTACTACGACGCACTCGGTAAACCCGGTGCCCTGGGCTTCATGGCTGTTGTCGCCATCGTCCAGTTCTTCATGGGCCTGAGCCTCGTCCTCGCCGCCTCTCGACAGAGCTGGGCCTTCTCCCGCGATGGCGCCCTCCCCTTCTCCTCCTTCTTCCGGCACGTCAGCAAACGCATCCGCTACCAGCCAGTCCGCATGATCTGGGGTGTTGTCGCAGCCGCTATCATCATCGGCCTGCTCTGCCTCATCAACAGCGCCGCCTCAAGCGCTCTTTTCTCCCTCGCCGTCGCGGGGAACGATCTCGCCTGGCTGACCCCCATCTTTGCGCGGCTCGTCTGGGGTGGCGAGCGCTTCCAGCCGGGGGAGTTCTACACCGGATGGCTGAGCAAGCCAATCGCCGTCACGGCCATCGTGTATCTCTTCTTCGCGCTCGTCTTGTGCATGTTTCCCACCCTGGGACCAGGTCCAGCTCGTAAGTCTTTCCTCTCTGTAGGTAATAATGGCGTTGTGCTGACACACTTGAAAGCCGAGGATATGAATTATACCGTCGTCATCAACGGTGCGCTTTGGGGCGGTGCGTTGTTGTATTATCTGTTGTATGCGCGCAAGTTCTACAAGGGACCGCAGGCGACGGTTGGACAGTCGTCGTCTACTCCTTCGGAGACGAATCTGGAGGGGTTGGATGGGGAGAAGGGTGTCAAATGACGAGGTACCTGTCTTCTTGATAACAGGATGATCGTGTTGTTTCTTGCAATTACCAGTTTCCTGTTCGAACTGGATTACATATACTGCCGCTTTGCAGGCTGGATATGCAGGTTGAGTGTCAAATCGATTAATAAGTGCTAGATACACGTCGCTTCGTTAAGTAATTAATAAGCTGTGACTTCCCCTGTATAATAAATAGGATGTAGTATGTATTTCTGTACGCATTGTCCCAACATCTCGGCATCTCAATACGTCAATCGCTGCTGCGCTGCAGATCTTCGCCCTTTACTGCGGTATTTCAAGAACGTATCGACCGGCAATCTTGCCTTGATCTATTACAGGGCTGTCAGTGACGGATCTCGAACGGGATAGGAGAAGGACTAACCCATTAGCTCAAATATGCGCGGAAGATCCTTCAACGGCGCTTTCCTGAACGGCGCATGGATGAGCCCCCGGGCGAAGAAATCGATCGCCTCGACGCCGTCCTGGCGGTTTCCCACGTAGCTGCCCTTGATCGTGATCATCTTGACCACAGTGTTGAACACGGGGGCTTTCAGGTATGCGCCTGCGGGCATGCCGATCGCGACGATGGTACCGCGCGAGCGGACGTAATCCGTAGCTTGCTGGAATGGCTTCTCCGAGGCGGCGAGTAGGAGAACAGCGTGGGCGCCGAGTGCCCCCGGGGTGGCGGCTTTGACGTCCTCGACGACGTTCTTGGATTTGGTGAAGTCAACGTAGGCCTGTTCCGGGAGACGTTTAGTAGGATATGCACAGAAAATGCAGGCCGTCTCTTACCTCTGCGCCGAGTTTCTCGCACATTTCTCGCTTCTCATCGCCGCCGTCGATCGCTACGACTCGCAATCCCATCGCTTTGGCGTATTGCTGCGCGAGAGAGCCTAGGCCTCCACCTGCGCCCGCGATCGCAACTGTCTGCCCGGGGCGTGCGCCAGATTCCTTCAGGCCCTTGTAGACCGTGAGACCGGCACAGAGGATGGGAGCGACCGCATCGAGGGGAGCATCCTTCGGGATGTTCGAGGCATGAGTGGCCTGGGCGACACAGTACTGCTGGAAGGTGCCGTCGACAGTGTAGCCAGACATGGTCGCGTCGGGACAGAGAGGGTCTTCAGACTGCTTGCAGAATTCACATTCCATGCAGGATCCGTTCAACCACTTGATACCTGCGTGATCGCCAATCTCGAAGCTAGTCACCAGCTCGCCTTTGGCCACAACAACCCCGGCACCCTCGTGGCCTCCCACAAGAGGCAATTTCAGTGGGAGGGGCCAGTCGCCCTTCATGGCATGCAGGTCTGTGTGACAGACACCCGAATAACGGATCTTGACAAGGATCTCATCGGGGCCGGGTTTGGGCACGGGGATCTCCTTGTAGACCGGTGGGCTGCCCTTCTTTTCGACCACCTGGGCCCATTGTTTGTCTGGTATGGTCATGCTGACCGGCGTTCTCGAGATGCAGCTGTGAAAGAAGAAGCAATTGGCCAGTCAAGCAAGGTAAGAATGATTTTGGAATAGCAACAAAAACCAAAATCGTCGAGTAAGCATGAGAGGTTTCCCGTGGTTCTTATAACTTTCATGGAGAGATTCTCATATTGGCTCGAGGGAGGCGAAAGTAAGGAATCAGGTGGTCCATGGTTAGGTCCGATTCAGACTGTGACGTCTCTGGATTCATCTATGAATGGCCGAGTATTTCATAAATGGCAGCAGGGACTATACAGAAGCAGGATGAGCAAGGAAGATGAGGCGACAGGCGAATGGGCCCACTGAGATGCAGGGTGAACTGCTTATTCCCCATGCTGTCCGACTGTTCGGAACGTAACGGGAAGCAGAGACGTCAGAGATCTTCATCTGAAAACACACATCTCTGGTTCTGAAGGTCAATCCACCAATTTCCAGCTTGCAGTCTTCGTGGATCTGGCCATATCTAACCTATCCTCGGGGCCGGTGGATGACTGTCGGGCCCGAAGACGACGTCACCAACCAGGCTTGCACGATCTCATCATATTAAGAGTTCGTTGTTTCTCCAGATTGCTGCAAGTACGATGTTGCAGCTGTCAGGGTCAATGCAAGAGTCCAGGTACCATGTACCTTGGCAGAATCAGAAATTAAATCAGAACTCAAAGCTGGGCTCTACAGACATGCAGGAGTCTTGGAACTGGCGTGTCGGGTAAGTCATAAGATCACCGCGAGACTGAGCAAGGAGGAAGCGAATTGATCCTACAATATGATATATTAACTCATGGTGAAGAAGGATTCAATGGCCTAATTCATGGTCAGTTGGCGATGCAATTCTCCGTAGTGTTGTTCGAAGATTGAAGGTTTTTCCCTCAGGCATGACTACGGAATGATTAGTCCTATGCCATTAAGAGACGATACGAGCTCAGTAGCTTCCGAACGCTGATATTACGAAATCATAGAATCAATCAGACGTATCCTTTGGTACAAGGATGTTGAGGTCCAGGAGAATACTACGTCTATGAGATGATCACCAGGCCGATGTACAACAAAAGTACTCCGCAAGGGAGCGAATAGGGCAGGCTTCAACAGTCTGTATAATTCGCGCATACAGAAGCGTCAGGGCCATGCACCTCCTAGGTGTCTTATTCCCTGTGTTTCCCCCGGCTCCGATGCATAGACGGGTGGCTGCGCAACAACCGCGTCTACTTGGATATGGTCATTGGTCCTCACCGATCGGGGCACCGGACGCAGAAATTCCATCGAAGAGAAAGACGAATGCCATTCATTGATCATCGACCTTCAGCGCAGCATAGTGCGTGGTGTCAAGCCATTGCTGGGTTCTCTAGACCTTGTCCAACAGTCCCTGGGAAATCGTACTCAGCAAGATCTCTGCGGTTTCAGGTGACAACGGTCATCCTTCACCATCATCAGCTGTGCCTTCCTTACGCTTGGTATAACTGGCAATTTTGGTGCTCCTCCATATGGTGACCCCTGCGCGTGGTATCAGGCGATCCTTGCAACAGAGACACATCACGTCTATAGAAAGGTTTTGCAGACAGTGCGGAGTATTTAAATTCTATCAGAGAATAATAATGCTATGAGTGTCATTATTAGAAGAGAATCAGTTGAATTCAATCGCCGTGTAATTTATGAGTCTGGCCTTGGTGTTTTGAGATTGTAATTACCGGTTCGGACGCATAGGCTTGGCATTGAATACCTTGATCTGGAGTAGTGAATATCGCGAAAGGGCAGGAAGCAGACCTCCATGCTTCCTGTCATAGAGGACTTTCGGATCATTTCTCTTTTCCAACGCTGTCAATTTGCCGACTGCTTCATCGAAGTGAAACCTACAGGTTGATGCTTGCAATTCTTGGCGAGTGAAGACCCAATCGATCGGCCAGGTACCTAGGATCAGTGGCGTACGTAATCCCAATACACGTACCGCCAGGCTGTACGTGTATGGATCGCGGACAGGCCCAAAAAAGCGACGAAAGAGGAAGAAGAGGAACAAGTAAAAGTGAAGAGAGGGCAGACAGAAAAACTTGGGCAAAGGGGGGAAAAGGCTGGAACAACCAGTTCGAAGATCCAACAGCAGCATCATTATCATCATCATCATCATTCACTATTCCTTCCTTCCACTTTCGACCCTTTCTTTTCTTCATCTCCATCTCCATCTCCGTTTCCATCATCTATTCTATCTTCATCTCATCAACTACATCTCCAACTTCACCATCCCACTTGTTTCCCTATTCCCTTTTCCACAAGCTTCGTCAGCCGCACCACAGTGTCAATTCCCGATTCGGGAGAACCACAGACGGGTGCTTGTTTTCCATCGCATCCGAACCTGAGCCACTCTGGCGCTGACGGGAGTTTGTTGGTTTGGTCCAACATCCACAAAGACCAAGACCTCGCCTTCATCCAATTATCCCCAGAGGTTTGTGTCAAAACGGTAAGGCAACCTCCTCTACTCTCATTTGTCTCTCCCCTTCTCTCCCTTCCAACCCGTCTTCCGACTTCACAACCTATCTCGTATGAACTGACGATCCATTTCCTTAATTCAACCTTTGGAATTCATCTCTTCTTATACCAAACCCTGCCTCGGAGCTAATTCTTCAAGCAGTCTGAAATCGCCGCGACAGGTGCGAAACGCGTGATTGCCCGTCCCTTTTGGAAAGATACCTTTCCTCTCTACCCTCTCTCGCTTGGACGACCGGCCCTGTTCAATGTCCACTTGACAAAGACGCCTTTTCGAGCTTCAGCTGCCTTATCACTGCCCCTGTTGTATTCGAATATTCGCCGCCGCGTTCTCCGGCACACGCGGCCATCATGACGGGGGCTCCGCCTTACAATCCCCAGTCTCCGACGCAGCAACCTCGTTTTCCCGTCTATTCTCCTCCGAATAAGAACCGTTCATACTATACCAACAATGATCAATACCAGCAGCACCCTCCTCAGACACCTCCGGCTTTCGCTCCACAGCCGTCACTGTCTCGGAGTCCCCATTACTCACATGCGCCTTCTCCCTTACCAGCTACACTACCTCCACTAAATGGTGGTGCTCCTCCGCCAGGGCATCATGCGGAGCCTTCGTCGCAGTATCAGGCACATTCATCGGCAGGGACGCCGCAGTTTCCATTACCAAGGCCATATTCAGCATCAGTGATGTCCAACAACGGCGCATCTCCCTATAACCACTCCACTCCGTCTCACGCCCATCCATCCGCTCGCCTGGAAAGCCTATCACAATCGCCTCCAAAGAAAGAGACAGAACCACTCTATTCCATCGGAGGAAATGGCGCTCCTGGATACTCATCATCAATCATGAGAGAGCCCCGGCCGGCTTCTCCCCCTAGGGAAACGGTATGTCTTCACTTCCACCATTACCTTAACCAAATGTGAGATGAGCACATTTACTGAGTCTTTATCTCAATTCTTTATTAGAAACATGCTCGCGCTGCCGACCCCATGTCATTTGCCAGTATTCTTTCGGGTCCAACCGAAGAGAGCTCCCCTAAGAAGCAGTCCTCCCT